GACAAATTGTGAGACGACTTTTATAGATTCTGGTTTGCATTGACGACTTCTTTTACACATTGACAAATCTCACTTTGGACACACAGATTGAGATACAGACATACTAATGCAACCTTCCATGCTCACTACTGCGTTCTCTATAAACTGGTGAGGTGGCCTTCCCTTTATACTCGGCGGCTTCACTACTGGTTTCATTTACAAATCAATTCTGGCTGAGACACCTCCCTACCTGTCCTCTCTTCTTCTCGTCGCCCATAATTCTTCTTGTACTGGGTCTTGTGAATGCATCAAGCTCATCATCCCCAATACTTCTACTGTTTTTGGTTGTAGCTCCTTTCTCTTTGCAGCAGCTAACGACTGAACACCTTACGAAACACCCTCAAACTCTGACTCCACTCACCACCCTCAAGCTTAAAATCCAACAGATTGTAGTCGACTGTTGCTCCTGCTGATCACACCAGACTGTACTTACAAACTTATATATGCACACACACACTTTCTTACACCTCATGCACATCTTTTCCCACTCACATGCATATGCCCCCATGCTTCTTACTTGTTTACTTTTGTTCTATGTTATGTTTATGTGTTTATTTGTGTCAGTAATTTAAATGTGTATTTGTTCCTGCTGCATGGTGCCTCTTGGCTAGGTCATGTTTGCAAATGCGAACCGGTTCTCAAACATTTATACCTGGTAAAATAAAGTTCAAATAATGCAAATGCAAACTCCCTCTTCTCTGGCATCTCACAAAAATCCATCTCTCGCCTCCAACTTGTTCAGAATGCAGCAGCTGGACTCACATCTCCCCGACGCTGGCTTCTCTCCACTGGCTCCCTGTCCGTTTCAGAAGTGATTTCAAGATTTTACTGATCATTTTTGGAGCTAGCCAGGGCCTTGCCCCTGGCTATATTTCAGATATGTTAACCCCATATATCCCCACACGCAGCCTTAGATCCTCGGGTCGGTCCGTCCGGATCTTTCCAAAGTCGAGGCTCAAATCCACAGGCGACCGGGCCTTTTCTGTGAGGGGCTTTGGAGCGACCTACCTGAGGAAATAAGGCTTGCAAATTCAGTATCTTCTTTTAAATCACTTCTTAAAAGCCACTTTTATAGACTCGCTTTGAGTGATGCTCTCTTTTATTTCTCTTTTAGATTTTCTTTTCCCTTTTTATATCGCTACTGCCTGCTGTATTTCTCTCTTTTCTCTTTTATAATCTGCTTTTATCTTCAGCTTTTATCTTCATCCCCCTCTGTGATGTCGTTTTTTTCCATCAGTTTTACTACTTTTATTATAATACACCTTCCAGCAGTGACCCAGCCTGTTCTTTTCCACTTTTTTATTGTGTATTTTTATACTCTGAGTGTTTGCCTGCACGTTTTGTACCTGTTTTCCTGTGTTGCCTTGTCTCTGTGTGTTGTAAAAGCACTTTCCTGTTCTTAAAAGGTGCTACACAAATAAAAGTTTATTATCATAAATAAATAAAAAACAATAACAAAAAGTAAAACTGTTTTTGCATGTGTAGCAACAGGTTTACTGCGAGCTGACACACCGAGCGTTGAGTATTTTAATCGAAGGATCAGGGTGGAGTTATAAACGACCAAAAGCGAGAATGCAAACGGTGTCACGGAGCATTTCAAAAAGGAAACACCAGAAACTCGTCTCAACAGCTCATTGCTTCATGGCGAGCAAGTTTCATTAGATTAGCAACACAAATAAAAACAGCTGCATCTGTTGTGCTTCACACACTCAGGCTAATGGTTCCTTGTCTAGTCTAACGCAGCAGTAGCTCAAACTGTCAGCTGCTAAAATGTTGGCAGCGACTGTTTTTATCATTCAGTCTGTCTAAATATAAGGCAGTAGGTGCTAGCATACTGATATTCTTTTCTATGTATTACATTTTGTATCGGTGTACCGACTCCTAAATTATGGCTCTGGTGACATTTGCAACTGAAGCAGAGGAAATGTTCAGCTCATAAGACTATTCTGACAACACCTGTGCTTTCCTTCAGTTATGTTTAACAATCTGGAGGCGGCAAGTCTCCTTCACGCTGCGCTGCTCAGATTTCGGGTGCAGTCTGATCTGGGACGCTTCAGGTTGAGTAAGATAGGTCAATGCAAAAAATAGCCCAGAAACAGGTAGTGTCTGTGCACAGCTCTGCTCTTCCTCTGAGGACGCAACACGCTCTGATCCCCCGCCGCAGATATTCTGTTGCGTGTTTTTATTTCCAGCTGTGTAATCCTATTTGTGATTTCAATGAGAACAAAACTCCACATGCATTGCATATGTAAGAAAGACATCTACTACAAGTGTTGTGTCACCTGCAAGAAGTTCGGTGCAAAATCCCTAAAAGTAGCTGCATATAGTCTGTAATGTCGTACAAAAATATGCATAACTACTTGATGAAGTCGTTATTGTGTTCATATAGATAAAAAAGCACAAATTTCTAACATGGATTTTAAGATGTGAAACAAAAAAGGAAAAACACTCATCCATTATCTATACACTGCTTAATCCTCATTAGGGTCATGGGGGGCTGGAGTCTATCCCAGCTGACTCAGGGTGAAGGCAGGTTCACCTGGACAGGTAACCAGTCTATCACAGGGCTACACTTAGAGACAGACAACCAAGCACACTCACATTCACACCTACGGACAATTTAGAATCATCAATTAACCTCAGCATGTTTCTGGACTGTGTGGGACGAAGTTAGAGAACCCAGAGAGAACCCACGCTGCACGGGGAGAACATGGAGAAACCACGCAGAAAGTTCCCAGGCATCCAAACCGGGGATCTTCTAGCTGTGAGGCAATGATGCTAACCACCGAGCCACCTTGCAGCCCTCCCCATATTCAAATTATGGTAAAAAGTCCAAGAGAAAAAAACCAGACAAGAGCATCTGAGGAAGGGCAGGAGGTTGTTTTTTGCAACAGCAGAGAAAAGAAATCTAAACATGACTATTTTCAAGAGGAAGCCCACAAAGACCGCAGGTTTCAGACTGACTGACACTAAACTGAAGTGCAGTGTGAGATCATGAGCCACATCTGACAGCTTGTTTACTTCCAGCAGCCACGACGCGACCTAATCAAAACAGAGGGCAAAAAGCATATTACTCTGGAATAACAATACAATGAGAGCTTATTCTGAAACAGAACATCCCACTGCATGTCTCTCTGTTTTTGTTCTCAGACAGATAATGGGTTGATGCAGGTTTTGGAAGTTTTTTGTGATCGCAAATGGACTTTGCTCCACCTCACAGTTCAGTGAACTGACACTCTGATTGCAGCTGTATTTCTAGCACCATCCAATTATTTTCTCTCAGCGATGTCGCCGGCAAAATTACCAGGTACACAGAACAGAGTGACAAGGCTGTAATGACTAACAAGGTGCTTGAAAATGTGTTGACATCACTAAGAGCTGCTTCATCACCATAATGTGACCGTAAATCACGGGGCGAATGGAAAGCGGCTCATATTCCAACAGCAGCTCAGTCTGAAAATGCAACGCGGACTCCTCGCTCTCTGCTGTGTTTCTCTACGTCGCAACAAAAGTAGTGTAGTGGATGACAGTTACAGGAAAAGCCAGGCGGCTTGCGTCGGGTTTATGTAAACACTGCGGGAACAGCCTGTGTACATAGACCCTGGGGTGCCTCCATTCACTAATGAGACTGACAGAAACACAGAGATTGCAGCACCACAAAGGGAAGCTGACAACAGACTTCGCTTGTTTACTGTCAGCAGATTTACCCTTCTAGGAAATGTTTCTGCGAACAAATTGAAAAGCTATTTGTGTGTAATAGGTTAAAAGCTTTTTTTTTCTCCTTCCCCCAGGGCCACTAAAATGATCGTTATGTTCCTCATGCGGCGTTACACCTCTTGCTCAACAGGTTTGCTGTCTTATCTTTGCGTGGGATGCCTGACATGATTCTGTGAAGTTTTCTGTCTTTGATCTCATCTAATTTATTTTTCTTGTTATTGACCGCATTGCTAAAAAAAAAAAAAAACAACTGATAAGCTAATCAGCAGGCTGCTAATAGGGTTAAACGCTACTTTGATGGAGCTTCTGAAATGCTGCTTTTATTTAATTTTATGTGACAGTTAAGTCTTTAATAAAAGGAGCAGACTGAGATTTTGTAAAGTAGGTACAAAGCAGATGTTAGGATTGTTGCTCCTTTACATCTAGCAACTTAGAGATGCCTTCTCAAGGTCAATTCATGCTGCCTGCAGATGTGATGTAAATGTTGGACGCCTCTGTGGACGTCCACGTGCAGGACAGAATTTGAGACTGTCTGCACTGCGAGTGTGCTGCCTGAACAAGAGCCAGAGAAGTAAATTATGCTTCAAACAAAAGCTTGTATTGAGGAGAGACTCTTCAAGGAGATTCTCCATTACCAACACCCTCATAATTCATCATTAAAAGACGTATAGCGGCTACCAGACGGCGGCGGTGCATTGATTTGTACAGGCTTTTTATTAGTGGTAGCCAAATACAGAAGGAGGTTCTGAATCCTCTGTGCTATGGCCACCCACTGCGCTCAGCACAACTCAGGCATAATCACACTGACATATTGCATCAGTCCAATCTGTAGCTAACTGCTGTCTCCTACAGAAAGCACAAAGTCACAGCCATCCTTGTAGAAACATCCAGGGGAGCCCAGTGTGCTCTTCTGTGATTGACATGAGGGCAAAGCAACCACGTGCAGGGCAAAGCGATGCATACCTATTCTACTACCAACAGAGCCGCTGTCACTTTCAATGTCTGCACTGGTGATGCAGAAACCATGAACTAGCCTTCCAGCCTTGGGAACTTCCAACTGACACATTTCACTATTTTCAGATATTTCAACAGTCAATTAACAGTCTTTAGAAAAAAGAACAGTGCGTGTAATTGCAGAGTAGTCGACATGTCATTGAATAATTCCTTCTTCAGATATTACAACTCAAAACTCAAGCTTTATCCTTGAAAAAATCCATTCATGCTTCACCATCACTTCGATGTAACTGTGCTTTTGCAGATCGAGGAAGTATTTGCCTCTTTCTGCACACACGCCTCCCTCCACCGCTTGTGACAGCTCAAAGCAAACCACCATGACTCTGCTGAAACACCTGTAAATCTACTCTACATGACACAGAGCTAGATTGTCATATTTGAGTAATCCAGCCATGTTCAACCCAGAAACTTTCTGAAGAAAAAGAATGAAGAAGAACAGAAATTCTCGTAGATTAATCGTAGCAACTGGAATTCCTTGAAGACGTTTCACATCTCATCCAAGAGGCTTCATCAGTTTTGACTGACTAGTTGGGAGGCCAGGTGGTTTGGGTTGTTTGTGATAGGGGTGAACTGGGCCGACTGTCCCTCCCCTGCGTTGGCGGTGTTGGGGGTCTGCTGTGTCCTGTTTCCCCTTTTTTCCTTTGATTTCTCCGCTGTCTGCTGAGGCCGCTTCTAGCCCCTCTAGCCCCTAATGACCCTCATTGTGGCCGGTGTGGCAGTGGGGGCTCTCATGAGGGGGGGGGAGGCACCAACCCCCCAATTGAAACCGAAACTCAGGTGTTAATGGCTCCTTAAGGATGTCTGGAACTCCCAACTAGTCAGTCAGAACTGATGAAGCCTCTTGGATGAGAGGTGGAACGTCTTCAAGGAACTCAAGCAGGTCCAGTTGCTACGATTAATCTACGAGAAGGACCATGACCTGGAGGACTGAGAATCTCCACAGACAATGATGCAGAAAGACTCAACTCGCCAAGCTGACAGAATTGGTTCCTGGCATTTGTTATGTATGAAAGCCTGGATGTTTGAGTCTATGTTTTTAAGACTATCAAATGCTCAAACTGTGGTGTTAACTGTCTATGTTGCTCATGACGTGTCTTTCAGCAGGTAAAAAAAAATGCACTTGGACTTAACAGTGGTTGTGTTAAAGACAAATGCAAGGGGTATTTGCTCCTTTTATTTAAATTTTATATATTTTCAGTGTCACTAATTGTTTGCTCCAAGAGAATCATTCAATTTGTGGAACTTCTATCTGTAATATATAATTCCCCCTTTTTCTAGAGAGATTTTCAAAGACAACTAACGTATTCCAGCTGTTTTAAGTGCGTCTCGTCACATCGATGTAGGAATGCACGAGTATTTATACTTTCTGCCCATGCAAAGCGGTCAACACTAAACACAATGCACCTGTTTGTTAGTGTAACGCATGCAAACTAACGTGTTTGCAGTTCAGATTGGGGTTCCTTGGAAACGATCAGTACCTTCACAGCTGTCCACAGGAGTGAGGCCCTCTCCTCTGTTGATGGACCAGCACATCTTCGTGGGAATCCCAAAGTAGCCCATCACACCTGTGTACATCCGGTACCAGCTGGCCAGGACCACCTGAGGACACGAGACAGTCAGTCAGTCGGTCGGTGTTTGAACATCACATCTGAAAGGACTCGCTGTCCTGATACCTCTGAGGAGAACAGAATTCCCTCTGTAGTCCTCCTTGACTCTGTGATGCAGTTGCTGGGTTACAGTCAGCCTACTCCACTAAGCTGATTCCTGTGTCATGTACACAAGCAATTACAGAAACTTGTTTTCAGCTGGAGCTATCCTGAAGAAAGCAGATTTATCTGCCATGTATACCGGCTTCTTATCTGTCTTTTTACAAGTATGCTTGTGCACAACAAAAGGCTGCAGACAGGGAAGGCAACAGAGAAGAGGCTGCATGAAAGGACGGAATAATTACACGGTGCAATGCATCCATTTATTCTAAATAACTCCATTCCAGGTCTGACTAAAACTAACACAAAGCATCCTCTACAAGTCTGAATAAGTTGGGTTCCACCTCTGAACATTTGCTAAATCCAGACACAATTTCGGGAAACAACTTCTCCAATTTACATGAATTACCTGGTTACCTTACTGAGCTGGTTGTTTTTCCCTGCAAAGCTCAAAATCCTCTAAATGAGAAAATTACGACACACAACAAATCTCTCACTCATTTTTGTATGAGATAAGAGGGCTCTGTTTGGAGCAAATAATTCATTGTAGATTTAGCTGCTGAGAGTATATACGGTATACACGGAGCGATTTACACTTTTACTGTTGCATAATTCAAAGATTTAGCTGATTTTAGGCTGAGAGCAGCAAATGACACGCACAGTATGCACAGTAAGATATGCAACGCTCCCACACAGAAGGTAATCACATTGAAATTCCAAAGTCAACATTACCTCTGGATAGAGATTGAATCTCTTCAGCGTGTTAATAACCAGGGGATACTCGGTCAGACGGTCGTTCATGACCATGTGGAGGCCGCCGAGGAAAGAAGGAGCCTCGATAATGGTCTTGTAGTAGGAATAGTACAGACCCTGGAATCAAAGAGAAGACTGAAGTCATCCTCAAAAACTGGGAGAAGTTGGGTGAAGAAGAACAAGAGGCAGAAGAGAATTATACAGAGACAGAGGCAGCAGATGGACACTAAATATAACTCCACAACATACAACTCAGACAGAAGAAGCGGGAATGAGTTACTCAGGCTCAGCAGATGGCGACGGCTCACAGCCCATTTGGTGGCACACAGCAGGGGTGAGGCAAGGAAAATATTCTGCCTGCATATGATCGATTCCTCACCTGCAGTGTCACGGCTGTAACATCAGCAGCTGTCACACGGGTAACGTGGAAGTGATGTAAAATACTTTCAAGAACACATTTGCTTATTTTGCCCTTGTGCAGCACCTCTGTAGTGAAAGTGACTCAACAAAGATAAGAAACACACCGATTTGAACTACTTTTAAGAGCACGTTATCTCTAAATGCCAACGATAGGGAGTCAGTCGCATTAGCCCTCTGCTCATTCACCTCCAGAAGTTACTTCACGCTCGGTGCAATCTTCCGACGAGCCCTGGCTGCCGTAGCGACGGGTCAGGGTTCACGTTTGCTCAAGTTTACCTTTGAAACTTGTGTGGATGTCAAACAGAAGCACTGAAGAATGCAGCACTGATTCATCATCATCTTGTTTGTACAATAATACACTCTGCCAGACTCTGCTGTTTGTGATCACTCCTCTGCTCAATATTTATTCTTGTCCCACATCGTCTCACATTTCGAATGTAATACCACATCCTCTTTCAAGGCTGAATGTTATGAAATGCGTTGACAGGAAGGCTAATGAGACGACACGAGGGCTGTAAGCTTCCACTGTTTTCGTCGTTATTAATCTGTTCGTTGTTTTTCAAAAACAAATCAAAGGATTGTTTAGTCTATAAAATGTCAGAAAGTTGTTGTGCCAAGATTGCTTGTTTCGTCTCAAGAAAAACTCGAGCAAAAACAATTTAACAAATGATATTATCAAAACAGTTGCAGATGGATTTTTCTGTTAGCCGACTCTAATGGTGTCCAATCTACAGGACCGTTTAGATTCTTATCCATCATTCTGCAGCATTGGAGACACAGGCACAGCCATGAAGAACCATCTTCAGCCATAAGAAGGACAAGGAATCCTAGAACAGATGTGACGGCCCCCAAAGAGCCCTGATCTTAACATCTGGGAGGCAGTCTGCGATTACATGAAGAGGCAGTAGACACAGAAGAAGTCTGGCAAGTTCACCAAAATGCTGAAAACAACCTAAACAAATACCATGAAAAACAAAGTGTAACCAGGAGACATAGCTCTGTTTTAAATGCAAAGGGCGGCCACACCAGAGGGATCTGATTTGGACTTTTTGGAGGGGATGTGAGGTTTTCCAATTAAGTGACCTTGTATAATGTTCATTTAGAAACAAAACTATTCACAGCAGTATTTTTTTTGGAAACATCCTCGCTTTGCTTTTGGTTCCTGAACAGGGGTTTTCCTTACTTGGTGCCACCTTATGTGACAGAAATTGATGCATTTTCCTGTTATTTCTGACCATTTAATAAACTAAAATGTCTATTATCCATCCATCCATCATCTATACACCGCTTCATCCTCACTAGGGTCATGGGGGGCTGGAGTCTATCCCAGCTGACTCAGGGTGAAGGCAGGTTCACCTGGACAGGTAACCAGTCTATCACAGGGCTACACTTAGAGACAGACAACCAAGCACACTCACATTCACACCTACGGACAATTTAGAATCACCAACATGTTTTTGGACCTTGTGGGAGGAAGCCGGAGAACCGGGAGAGAACCCACGCTGCACGGGGAGAACATGGAGACTCCACGCAGAAAGATCCCAGGTGTCCTCACCAGGACGCGAACCGGCGACCTTCTAGCTGTCAGTCAGGTGCTAACCACTGAGCCACCTTGCAGCCCCAATACATACATGAATAGTTCCCCTATTGACCAAAAACCCTGCTAAAACTTCCACACAGGCCTCCACATACGATGCCTTGTTCTTTTGGAATAAATGCACCTTGCAACGTGGTTCATCACCGGCTATAATTAGTTGAGATGATAGGACTATAAATGACAAGCGGAGGCTGCCTGCCCGCCGACACACAATGATACAACAGCTGCTGACTCAGAAAATCATGTTCACTTCATTATTCTTAAAGTGATGATACGGTAACCTAGGAGGCTGATTTCACACTTTTACATCACTTGCGTTATAACACAGTCACACATTGTCACTGTCAAATACTCAGCGTTTGAACCGCAGTATCGGAAAACAAATCTGATGATTGACAACAGATTGACTGATAGTCATTCATCTGGCAAAAAGAGCAGTTATGTCTTTCCAGCTTTTCCAATGTGAGGATTTGTGGCTTCTCTCTGATATTTATTGCTGTGAAGTCTCTCTGTCTCTGTGGATTTTGGACTATTAGATGAACAAAACAAATGTTCACTTTGGTCGGCAGGAAATTGCGATGACGTTGTGTGAATGTTAACATTAACCTTATGATTGATTAAAAGGATTGAGTCAAGTTACTGTTACATAGGGGTCTAAAACATCTGACATGAAGCCAAAGTGTTTTCCAATAGTCAAATAAGATTTAGACCCCACATTGTAATTCATAACATCTATTGAATAATTTCAATATTAAGGTTAAAACCACAGCCTGTAATATTAGATAGATGTATCTGGGTAAATTAAAGATCACGGTTAACGTCAGACAATATCATTTATGATGTAAAGACATCTAATACTTATGTTGCGAATCTGAAATATCATATATTCCACAAATTAAACTGATTAATTTTAATATAAGGTGAAGAACCTACACTGTTATACTAAATTAACTAATTTAAAAGGTACTGAATAAAAATTAAGGCCAATATTTTATCAGATTAACTAAAAATAAAAACAACTGCGCTGCACAGTATAGTTAAGCCTGAATGATTTGTATTTGTGTCAGATGTATAAATACATGTATGGCTGCTATCAGGGAAGAGTGCCAGCCTCCAAAACAATGTATTATTTTTATTTTTTAATGCATTCCTAAAGAAAACAACAAACTACTCACCATCTCTGTTCGAAAAGCCATTTCCTTCTCCAGGTTGGACAGGTGTGAAAAGTGTCTGTCATTCTCAAAGAGCTGCGAGAGATGATACCTAATTACAGGAGGAGGAGGAGGAATAACGTGAGCCAAGAGCAAGTAAACACAACAGCACCGTGTGAGTAATAACAGCGTAACACCGAGAGAGCAGCTTACCAGTGCAGATATCCAGCCAGAGCAGCTGTGGAAAAGGCAGAAAAATAACTTTGACTCGTGCTAAGGAGCAGGCTACTTCACCAAATGAGGAAGGAGGTCATAAACAGCGATGCCACGAACACCAGTTTAAAGCTCAGGGGGGAACGTTTGGACAATGAAACGGGGGCTTTCTGCTGTGCATTTTTAAAATATATTTATATATATATCCGGGGTTTGAACTTTGCCAGAAAAACCTGTTAACACGTGTGGAGCTGGTGTGTCACAGAAGCAGAAAGAAAACAGTTGGTTTCGATGAGGTTTTAATGAAAAGCAACAATCGGTAGCCACCGCTGGAGAGCTAGCGTTTAGGTGAGCTAACGTTAGCCAAGTGATCAGCGGCGGAGATAACTTAATTTAGCGGAGCCGCTAATGCTACTGGTGTGTTGCGCGGCGCTAGCACCCGTTAGCTTGTGGCTCCGCGGGAAGCTAGCAGGCTAAGGCTCGCAACTTACCGAGGAGAAGAGTGCTCCCCAGCTTCAGGGCTGCGGAGGGAGTTAGCCCGAGCTTGTGTCTGATGCCCGAGAGCCCGTTTGGATGCGGGCTGTTGAAAGCTTTGCCCTCCCTGCCTGCTCGCCTCACGTTACTTTTGCCAGGGGGCGAAACAAGCGGGCTCCTGTCGCGGTCAGTCTGGGTCGCCGGACTCTTCCCGGTCTGCTTTCTGTTTTTAGCCACCATGGTTCCCAGAGAGAGTCGAGCTTAGGGGAGCGAGGAGTCGATGGAGAGGGGTGTGCGCCGAGCAGCCCCACAGTCGCTCGTATCTGCTCCTCGGATCTGCCCCTTTACTACCTGAGTGATGCTTTCACTGGCTCCGCGTAGAAATCTTATGGGCGCGCGCCCCCTGCTGGCCGTTTGGCGCCACCGCAAAGAGCTTCAGACGGTCACTATGGCAACGCCTAGAAGAAAAACACCTGACACCTCACGGCTGGGTTAGAAACAGGACGCTGCATCATGTCATCGGTGTTTTTCCTATTAAATGATGGAGCAACGACCCGGAGGTTTATTGTTTGAGGATCCCTGAAGGAGCTCACTGGAGGCGGGAAACACTGTTGATGGTCCTCAAATTTATTCCATTAAAGAAAAAGCAAAATTCACAACAGTCACTCAAATAACTAGAAACTGAATAAAGTAATAATAAATAAAAAATTTGCTAAATTCTAATTTAGTGAAATAAGACATTGCTTTTGAATTGTGGTTGAAAAGAATAATTCCAAAAAATAAACAAAAAACTGTCCCAGACAAATTAGAGCACTTTGCTGATGAGCAGTGAAATCCAAATACCTGTCAACAGGTGCAGAAGTCTGACGGAGTTACAGAAAACACCCGATGGCAGTGATTGGCTCAAAGGGTTGTTCAACTAAATATGAGTTTACGGGTCCCATCATTCTTGTTTGCTTGTTTTTTTGTGTTTGTTTTATATATTTCTGTTGAACCACAATTAAAAAGCAATGTCATGATTTTCTTTTTTTATTATTGTTATTAGTTTTGCCAATTTCCACTTATTTCAGTGACAGCGTTTTATTTTTTCCTTCTCTAATGGGAGTGTATGAATACATTAGAGGACGACTGTAAGTCAATCAAATGAGCACAGAAGTTATCATACAAACTG